ACACACACACACACACACACACACACACACACACACACACACACCTGAGGAGTGTGACCGGTGCTGCAGGTAGCTGGTGGGGGGGTAAGGTGTGTGTCGTCCCGAGTAACCATGGTGCTTGTAACCATGGTGATGGTGTGAGGTCAGCGGGAGACCGCCTGCGTAAGGAAAGGCTCCGCCCCCTCCAGCCGAGCACAGTGACCAGCCTGAGACACACACACACACACACACACACACAGACATATTCATATGATTAATTATATAAATTAATATAATTTTAGGAAATATACTGAATATAAACAATAACAATAATAAGTTAAAATAGCAGAAATATTCATAAATGTATATATTTCATAGTATATATACAGTATGTTAAATACTACATATATATTTTCTGAAGTTATGTTTTTGTGTTTAAATATAAAAAGTATTTTTCATTATATTAATTCATGTGTTTGAGGAATAAAAATACTTTTTACTCACAGGGTTGAATCCCAACTCGACTCTCTGAGGACTCCGGTAAACCCCGCCCCCCCGGGTTCCTGAGGTGGATAAATCAAACGCTATCATGACTGTGTGTGTGTGTGTGTGTGTGTGTGTGTGAGTGTAGCTCTGAGCTCCTCATGACTCTCTAATCAGCTGCTAACGCTAACGTCCTCTGGTATCCTGGTGAGAAATGCTAAGTGTCCGCTGACTGACACCTACAAATACTACAACCAGTGGCGGCTGGTCAATAGAGGGCCATGGGGCCTGGCCCCACCTTGAGCCACACAAAAAAAAAATTAAAAAAAATTATAATGATCATAAATTATAGAAATTGTCAATATTTGTGTTTTTGAACTATAGAATGTACCCAGTAATATGTGTAAAATATGATATCTGCACAAAATATATGCTTTTCCTGCTCGTCCTCTCCGCCTGTGTGCACGACACGTCTCAAAACGCGCAGCTAGGGGGGGCAAAATCGTTTTCGCCCAAAAGAGGCGGGTCTATGAAGCAGTTTAGCCAATTGCTGATTAAAGATATAAATGAGTGACATACAATTTAGCCAATCAGCGCCCTCAAATAGATTCAGAGTGGGGCAGAATCGATTTGGCCCCCATAGCTGCGCGTTCTCGTCAGGAGAAGTCTCTACAGGCGAGCGTGAGCAGAGGAGAACTTTGGCGGAGATTCTGCAGACCAAAGAGCTGATCCCAGATCAGCCTGACCTCACAATCAGACAGCAGACTAGCAAGAAAGGGAAGCAGTACATGAAGCTTCTCTACTGTACACCAGACAGGTTTGGCTAGCCGCATGACGTCATGCTAATAACGTATTTAGCTTTTTAAAACAACGGGGACAGATCCAGCATGGACAGTAACGGGAGTGAGGGAGTGAGGTAAGGAGACATGAGAACACCAGGGTAGGGAGTGAGGGATGAGGAGGTAAGGACACATGAGAACACCAGGGTAGGGAGTGAGGGATGAGGAAG